CAACTCACTGCAAAAACCGGCGAGTTTCACTTTTCGGTTGACTTTTACTGACATCCACTCCTGTCTGTCTGTATAAGCAGCAGATGTCCTGAAGATCGTGATATTAGATATCAGAGACAGCTGCAAATTACCTTTGCACCTCTTTTCCGTACGACACGACTATCTTAAATTCAAAACCTGGATATAACATAACTCACAGAACCAAACGATTTTGCCGTTCTGTTATTGTTAGTAACTTTGTATATGCATGTATGTTTGAATGTTACCTGGCTGAGCAGTCCACCGAATTGTTAAACAAACTGCTTTCTCTCGCTACTGCTAAGGTGACCAGTCACTGTTAGTTTAAACCGTACCGTACACACACATCACAAAAAGTGCAGTTGATCATGTTCTTCACTTTTTGGAGACCACCTGGTACGACTCACAAACCCGAATGGTTACTCATATTAGACTTTGGTTCATCGGTTTTTGAGTAAATTTGGCTTAATCCATATCAACTGAAACGGATAACTTGTCAAGTACTTGGCATGTGTAATTTATTCGTGGACTGTCGAAATGTACATTTGTAATAATCAGTGTCTTAGAAGACAAAAGGTCAGTATTGGTAATCGATCAGATGGCTGTTGGTCTGTTCACCGAGTTCATCACCTGACTTGCAGACGTTTCGTCACCAATCGAAGAGACGTCAAAGGTGCATTGTTGGGTGGGTAGTTCCGCTCTTCGTGCTTACGCTTACGTCATTTGCAAAGAGTAGTTTTAGGCTATAACCTAATCGGTCGCTGATAATTATCTCACCTGGAATCTCTTAGTCCGATCACGATTTACGCTGCACTGTGGTCTACATTTCTTGCGTTTGATTGCTCGACTACACGTTGAAATAGCCGTCCTGTTATGAATGGTTCGTTCGTGATCAAGAGATCAGCTTATTCGTCATTCACTTATTGAATATCACTAAACACAGTTCGTATGCATAGGACGATTGTTGATAACCTGAAAAAGGGCTACTTTTTGCGTTTCGTATTCCGAGGTTCATTCCAGTAACCATTCACAGACTGAAGTGAAAACAGATTGTGGTGACTGCATATGAGGCAGTTTTGGACAGATCCAACATACCATGAAACATCTGGCCCCACATAAGATAACGATGTTGTAATCCACTAGCTTATCCAACCCATGTAGTCAATTTGGATGGCTCCTGAATGAGTTTCCGCGTAACTCGAGGGAAATGAGCACACTATATCAACGTCGTGGCTGCTGAATATTTGAATTTTTTATAATAATACAGATAAAATCGTTTTTTCATTTTACTTTTTTGACTTGATAGGGTGATCTACAGGGAACAGAATGTTTCACTCCTCAGTCGCTACGTACACTTCTTGTAGCGAACGCCAAATAAGTTCACCTCTCTCCTACCCTATCCCCACAAAAAACCTGTATGCATATATCTTTTGAGAACTGCATATTTCGTTCAACTACCATACCGAAAACCTATTGTCGTCTATGGCTTTCCTGTAACTCATTGAAACAGATTCTCGCATTGAGTCATGGTTTAAGATGGGAGATTCCAGCTTTAAAACATCCAATCCGACCGTTCAATGAAAAGCAAAATTCCCGCTGCTGTATCACAAGTTTGAAACATTCCATATTCGAAGCGCCAACATGGTAAGATGAGTTGGGACGAGACTGTGTTTAAAAAAGGAGATAGGAATCTGCCACTGCTGTAATACGTAGGTGACAATACTGTCGGTCAGATAAATATCCATGAGTGACGGCTGCTACTATTCTAAACATATCCGTCGATGAAGTCAACATACTGGAATATGGTGTAAATGGATGTTCAGAATAACAGCAGTAAGCGACCTCTGTTAGTTTATACCTACTTTAAGAGAGACTCCCCCCAATCTAATCGGCTTCAAACCAAAAGTGATCCTCAGATAACGCTCCGATCCCTTTTCGCTACATAGCCTGTGGATTTATCTAAGTGAAGTTCAAATGGAAGTTAAAGCAACCTGACATTAAACAAAACCTTGGTCCACTTTGTTTCCTTATTAGATAGGTCTTCCAAATGCCAAGCTGCGCTCCAATAACGACGTAAGAATATCGGTCTTCAATGTCCGGTTAGCGCGGCATCGGTGAGCCGGAGTTGGATAAAAACTTGGATACCTATGGTGAATCTCCCTTGGTTTGGTTACAGGCTGATCTGAAAATTCTGTCAATCAAAACGACCCACTGAGTCTTGACTTCTACGCCGGAATTTGAGAACAAAATTAGGCAACCTTAGATTGCATGGCGTTCATAGGTTTTAGTTAACAACCCTGACATGTTATTCTGTGCAAGAGTGTAGTACAATTAACTAATAGTATTTTGACTGTCACTGCCTTCATCTTAAACTGAATTCCGATCGCTAAATATGATGGCAGCACACCGTGAAACCTGAAATTTCTAACCAGAGCAAGTCTTCCCTAAGAACACTCTCAATCACTATCATAAAAGTGATCGCGAATGCCGAAGATATAGTGCACCGTCAAACATCATCTATCATATCAGAATAAAATGGTATAAAAACTTCAGCTACGATGCTAATGCTGCCTAACTTAACTTCTAAGCATCTGTGGCTTACCCTCAGTTTATCGATATGGCTAAGAATAAATTAGTGTTATGTGGTTGATTTCCGACCTTCAATCAATCGATGGATTCTGTATGCTTGTTTCAGAGCTATGGGCTTGTGGTGAAATTAGTTCGCAGACGCGTTGCTTCGGATGCTTGTTTTGGATTTTCTTCGCTTATGGTTATCTACTCGTAGGATAACTTGAAACCGTCATCCTACAAATATTTCACACGCAACCATATTTTACTAAACGCCCGTCTCATTGCATCTCCGACGGATTGATGTTTTAGCTCGGCAGCCAGATATTCATACATCCGTATTCAGTCGATTTGAACAAGCGTGCTCGCATTGGATTAGATAACGGCCATAATGATACCGAATATATCAAACTTAATTACAAGCCTGAAGTTTCGGAGAAGCAATACAGACTTGTTCAAAGGGAACTAAATACCGAAGCCACTCTCCGGTTTAATTTCCACGTTTTTTTTCAAAACTGCGCTTCGTAAATGAGCTCACTCAATAGCATTTTGAAGTGAACATCTACATTTTTACTTTTCGCGCATGGAGTTCCAACCCTAATTAACATTTAGAGAGAGAAACCATTCATTTGGTTGCACCGGCGTGGAAAAACCTACTAATTCAGTGAGACTGTTGGAGAGCGATGAGAGATGAGGGTGTTTACTTGGAAAAGTATGCCTAAGGCACCTACTTCGACATCTCTCGTTAGCTAAATTCCTATTTTTCAAGCGCAGTGGATTCGCTATGATAGGCAACGGTTATGCATTAAAAGACGATCTCTTGTATTTTTTAATAACTCTCAGTGTTACTATTGTAGGTTCCCGGTGTTTTCACTTTATTCTAACAAATATGCAAGCCATTCATAGATCTTGGTACTTAACATGTAATGCGTTTAGTGTGTTACATTTCATCATTTAATGGATTCCAAAGTTAATATGTGATACAGTTCATGTGCGTACATGTGTGGTGATACTTTTACAGTCTGCTGCAGCAAGTAGGCCTTCGCTGTAGCGTAAATTTCTTTGTGAAACTGCAGCTCTCGTGGGTTAACCAGTGGAATTGAAACACCACTCAGCAATGACGGTTAAGTAGCGCAACCTTATTGATTCTCTGGACTTTAATTGATCGAAGTTGGTGGTTGCGATGCCTGATCAATAATAGGTCCAGTCTAAATGGTCTCACGTGTCATCACCGCTTCATGCTGATTTGATCGAAACCAGAGAATACCAAATGTGAAGGCTAAAAGTAAATCTGCCTCAAATTTCAGAGTTTCGTCTTGATATAACACACTACTTATGAGATTACTGAAGACTCTTGAACAGCCCACGATCACTTTTGACGCCCATCAAGGAGTTCTTCTTTTTTCTACTTGACCCGAAAAAATCTGGTACCTTGTTGTGGAGTATAGCGCGGAGTGCAGTTACTGAATGTGAGCGTTTTGGCAGAAAGTGATAAATTTCATGCCGGCGTTATACACAACAGTTTGACTCAAGCCTCAGACTATTTGTTCACTCGGTAAGTCATGTGAGTATTGGGTCTCTAGGAAGGTGACCATTATGGGGCTTTGTGAAACGGATTCGATTTATACCGTAAATAATGGCAATCTAATTGGGCTTAGAGTACTGAAAGTACACTTTCCCTGAGATGAGTGAGTAGACAGTTATTTCACAAGTCAATCATACACGGCTTTCTCAACTCTATCATTTTAAACATATGTTGCCATTGCTTGAGATGAAATCTGCGACACCTTCGCCGTTCAGCCATTTAAAGTGACTAATCACGTTAAATATTTGGAAAAGGCACGCCTGAAAGGATGACATTTGTCCTTTTAGATTGCTGCAAAAATATACGTGCCAAAGTCTGCATGAAAATTCACCGAATAGTTACATCCCTAGACGGAAATGTGTGCAGATCAGTGCAAGAGTTGCACCCAGAAGACCTGAATTAGGTGGTTGGTGCCAACGACGAAATACGGCCTTTGTACAGGCATTTATCCTAGACACCCATGTACCTCCCACATAGTTCACAAGCTCTTTGGCCCCCGATCTACGTAAGAGGTTTTGCGAAAACGAACCCTCGAACTTAAGACACAGAGATCACATCTACCAATAATCTCTACTCAATCAAAAAGCGACGGGATGTAGCTGCTTAATGGAATATACATAGGTGCAACGTGCATAGGTGTGCTTGTCACATTATGCAGACAAGTGCAACAATCGTAAGAATATATATGTATGGCAGTCTTGTCCGAGTGAAAAATTTAATGGTCAAACCATTTTCGTGCAGAAATAACGTTGGAGGGTTAGGTTGATAGCGTGGACAAACTCGGAATGTCTATAAATTTTGCGAAACTAGAAGTATGTCACAGCACATTTTAATATCTATATTGAGCTGTAGAATATCCATCTTGGTACGTACCATAACTCAAATCTGTCGAGTTGTATCTTCTTTGGTCTGACTTGTATTTGTTTTCGTGTCGCTGAAGGTACATATAGATTGGGCCATCAAGACTGGCGCGCGGATAGTGGGTTCTGGGGTCGTATTTGATATATGTGACGTCATTCAAGCCGTTGATAGTCTTGGTAGGTCTAGGAGATGGAGATCGTCTAGGTGAGGGTGGACGAGGTGCTTCTGCGCGAACTGTCGGTTGGTAGACCACTTGAGGTACTGGAACAGGACTAGGAGTCCTAGCCTTCGGTGGTGTACTATACCCCGCCGGGGGTGTTGGGCTTGTGTTTTGGAACACTGTGCTCGTTCGATAATCTTCATCCAGCGAGTCCTGGCTTGTTTGAAAATCTATGTGTACCATTGATCTCCGCAAGTCAGGGTCTTCGACCACCGAAACTACAGCAATTGCCGGTCCATCTCGAACGCGGTGTTCAGCATCTTCCATTGCCTGTTTAATGTAGCTTTCAAATTTGTATGCATCCTCTTTGGTTTTACACTTGTACACTTCGTAGTAATTCTGCCCACTTTTTGAGTCCACGCTTAAAACAAAAAACTCCGCCTTTGACTTGCTTCTTTGTATAGCCACGATTTCGTTGTATCCGACCCATGAACGAAACGGATCTTTTCCCCCTGATTTATGCTTCTCAATTGTGAAGCGGTCTTCCAAGATGTTCCCAATCCCGTGAGCTTGACGCTTTTTCAAATTCTTTTCCATAAAGCGCTCTGCATCGGCTCTTCTGAACGGCACTCCGGGCTTTAGGGTCTCTCGATTGATGGTACACACATGTGTCTGGAAAAACAATTTCTGCTGAGTTGCCATGTGAATCAATTGTCCGTCAATGTAGGTGGATCCGCGGGGTGCAGCTGAGTCACGATGCTTCTTCTGCCTCGACATGGTAAAATGGTTGACCTACACCGAATTATTAGTTTACTAGTAGTACGAGTTCCTATCGACGTTACTTTTTATACAGTCCACCGCTTCGGTGTGCTCAAGCAGTAAACCAATCAAACGGTGTTGTATTCAGAACAGTAACCTCATTGATGCACCATACAGGCTGCTCGCACACTTAAACCATATAAGTAATAGCCAGCAGATCTCTTTCACTATTGCGTGCGCGCCTAAGCAACTCAGTGATGACCGCATTATTCACTGGTGAGGCCATCGAATTCACGTGACTTTGAAGCATACCCCACGGGGTATGATTCGGATCGTATGAAAGTCATGCCAAATTCTGCATTCTGAGCTAAACACACAGAGGACAAAAGGTAGAATTGCACTTACGATTCTCGTGCTTGAGTGATTTATTAGTAACCCACGTCTTGTTTTCATACGCCATCAAATAGTGCCTGACGTTTAGTGTTGTGTAATAAGCTGCGGTGTACTCTTTTGTTTTTTTCTTCCATTTGTTTTCCTTGAGTTAGTCCTTTTAGCCATCCACTTATCTATCATACGATTAAGTGCGGATATGTTAGGGTACCACACTTCGTACCTGTAGATAAATTAGTTTGTATAGTTCCAGCTCCGCTTTCCGGCTTTCAACCAATCATACAAGAATGATGGAAGTGCACATATACTGTAACAGATCTTAGATAGTAGATATCGGACAGGTAGGGCAGCTTGCTGAGATTCGAAATGCCAAGGACAACCAACCCCTCCTGTGTTAAGTTTAAACCCGAGATCTACAGTTAAGTGGATTAAACCGCATTTTTCCGGCATTAACTGAGTATCTGTTGGTGTTTTAGTGATCTGACCAAACATGTCTACTCAGTATAAACAAAAACACATATTCTGTAACGATGAGTTGTGCTGCTAGCAAGATTTACGCTGCGTCCAAATATTTTGGTGGCCGTTGCTTCCAGACGAAATTGGGAAATTTGACACGTGCACCAATTCAACATGTGCCACAGTCAGAACTTCCGAACCTACTCAGATAGTGTCTTTAATTTCTCTGAGGTGTATTGATATCCAGTATATTCTAGTCTCATGTAGCGTACTGTATGTATCAATGATGTATTGCTGCGAATGACGCTGATGATGTCCACGTCACACGGGCAACCGGTGTGAATTCGAACTGCAGTTTGGAAGCCTCATTGGTAGGACCCGTGAGTTGTGTAAGCTGGTTGGGGGAAATTTTTCCAACAACAATGATCTCGAGGCCTTTACTTTGAATGAATAAGCTTGAATGAACCAAGCAACGTTGGTTCAATGTCCTCAGGTGCCAGTTCGTAAGGAACATCAGGAAAGCGACTAACCACTGCAAGCACTGCTCATTTACTGCACTTAGACGAAAAATTAGACGAATGGAGAAACCTGATGGTTCCTTCTTAGAATGCTTGTATGACCAAATGAATTTGCTGACCTGTTTCGGTTTTTCATCCCGGGACGAGGACTACGGTGAAGATACATTCATGGGTACTAACACAGGAACGAAAGATGATTGTGATGACCCCACATCCTTCAGCTTGTGCTTTGCCGTTCCAACCGTTTCGCAGTTCAGCTGGTATGCTTCTGATGGTGACATAACTAAATCAGCATACTTTCTAACTAAACAATCACCAAGTGATTCAAAGGTCCATCTGATGCTGCATGGTTTTAATGGTACACTTTGAAACCGAATCGCAAAACTGAAATACTATATCGGCACCTACGCTAACGCGTTTCGACTTAGACATAAACCAGTCTAAAAAATCCGCCTGCTATGGAATTGCTCCTGATGGCCCAACCAGCAACGAAGCGAATAGCGTCGGAATAGCGTCATTGTCATATTTCTGCTATCTGCTTCGCGCCCGGGCCGAAAATGTTGAGAATTGGAGTCGCATTAGGAAAACTTCCAAAATGCCATCAACACTTCATGTGCCATTTGATGAATTTATCCGCTCTTAGCCTATTGCCAATACTTTACACACTCATGCACTAGCAATATATAGCTGGATGTTGTGCGAATTCATTAGTAATTTCGGCAGCAAACTGGACACATCAATGCAAAATATGCTTAATTGCGTGCACGTTCACCACCCTAGCTCCTTGATGCTAGAACCTGAAGTAATGTTTCCAATGAAGATTTCCACCCTTTAGCGAAACGGATCAATCTTAACAGTGGGATTAACTCGCAGCACCACCACCAATGGACTTATGAAATCTCATCATACTATCAACAAACTACAAGTAGCCCAAAGAGGAGAATTATTCAGACCATAGTTGAAACTTATCCGAATAGCCGTCGCTTGTGGAGTGAGAATTCAAATGGCTACGTGGTGTGGATTCCCAGACTGAATTGTGAATGAAGCTATGTCCTGTCCAGTATGAGGGAATCACTTCTGATTAATCGCGCCAGGCCAAACGGTTCAGTTTGATTGCTTCTGCTTAGAGGACAAAGTCTGTATCAACGATTCATAAATCTCCTTATAATAACAAAGAGAATGTATAACAATATGCAACGAATGCATGACCCACAAGAATTGAGAAACGCGAAGGGGTTCCACAGTCAAGCTGTCACTGACCGAGAGTCAAGCTGACTGCACGCCTGGGTTTCGGAGGAGAGAATAAACAGAGATTTACATCGGGAAAAAGTCTGTTGATCTTTGTGAAAATTTCCCAAAAATTCGCCATTTCGTGGAGAGAGCTGATGGAAAAATCAGCAACGCCCGTAGTAGGGAACCGTACCGCCCCAGAAAAAAATAGAGAAGGTACTCCGTACCTACACCGATAAGTGGGCTAACCACTAGCAGCGCACTCTCGATCTCGACAGTACATAGGAGACAGCGCAAGAACAGCGCCATCTTTCCCTCAAACTACGGAGGACAACCGTTTGGCTCCTTCCTGAGGTGTGGCAGCTGATATGGATAAAGACGGTGGATGGCCAAAGCTGCAGGTCAATGCGGTTGGCTAAGCCTTATCGGTTGAAAACAAGCCCTTGAAAAGTCTGACCAGTTCCCGGGGCAGTACGAAATACGCTTAGAAAAACGGGGCGATTAGCCCAACCTACGACGTAGCAACTGGTCCATCACCTCAGCTCCACAAACATGTGCATGGAAGAGATGGGAAACCGAAGGCGCTAAAGCGAGTGGGTGCGGTGATGAACAGCGTCCGCCAACACACAAATTAAATAACTGTGTAGGAGGCTTGACTCAGGTGTTTGAATGAACCAGGTTAAAGTGTTGATCTAGCCCCAAATGAGCAGGCCTCAAAACAACCTCCTCACAGGAATTCTAAGACAGACGCTTGGAGTGGAGAGAAATTAGTGATGGCACGAATGAGAGAATGAGGTGTGTGGGTGATAAGGGCCACAGATCTTCGTCTCAGCTCAGTCGCTCTATCACGCACACTCATAGGTCTATGTTGATTTGGTTCGCCAGCGTACTTGTGTGCCGAGTCTCAAAACCTATGGTGTTCAGTGGTGCGACCAAACTAAGTGTTAACAGGGTTGAAGTACACCGCAACAGTCTGTGATGCTTGAGTTCCAGTCAGAAGCACTAATGAAAGAGTAAAACGAAGAACTGAGTTTGGGAAAGCGTTTCCGCACTTTTGTATGGTCTTTGCACTTTTTCGTTACTTATCATTCAGAGAACAACAGGAATTTGAATCAGCCAATCCCCTGTTGTTCAGCACTAGCAATCAGAACCACATGACCGAATACTTCATGCTGTTCGGAAAATCCAATGTTAACATGTTTGAGATAGGCCCTATTTATACTTAGTAAGCTGTACATCCGAAAGAGGTGCACCCAACCCCACCCCCGTGTTGTCTGCACTAACCTTATTATGTGAACTGTCCCACCAAATCAATTATCTAAATATGGTAACATACAGACGAAATGGTTTAATCTGTCATTTCAAACTAACACTAATTTTCGTCAAGATTTCACTGTTAAAACCCGACTTCTTTAACCCAGATACTACAGGAACGTTTTTATTATTCCGTCTGCGTGTAAGAGTGGAGGTGGGCAAGGATTCCATTACGGCAATCCTGGTCCGTTAGTTGAACTCCCCAATTCTCAAAGGAGGAAAATCAAATTTATGTGAGCGGTTATGTGTACAGTAGAGAAACCACGTCTGAGGCAGCCCGTTCCATTAGTGCCGTTGTTAATGAAATCATATTAACATCTAACTCCGGTGCATAAGTGGATATGTTATCATCTTTAGTCACTTAACATGAGCATGACTAGAAGTTCTGGAATGGTTAAACTTCCTTCCAACAAGACGCAATCTATGCATATTCACCTGGCTAGCTGTCTCAAGGGATGGCTTAAGGATAGGGGAAACTGAGGCCAATTTATACACACCTAGCTCAAATTTAAATACACAAAGATAGAAATCCCATTCGATTTATCGTAGATGAGAGTAACTCACGTTATTACCCAACTTACTCATGATAATGTGTACTCTTCAGTTCAAAGATCATATTTACTATGCCATCAAGGTGCATAATCTTAACGCCAATGTTATGAATTCTTCTGACGTCACTCATTGTTTACAAATGTGACACTACTGAAGATGATTGACTTTAATTGTACTCATGTACAATGCCGAAGCTGGGAGAAGTGCTGGTAAGATATGTTACAGTTCCCATTTAACCATGGATTATATCAACAAAAGGACTGTGTCCACCATGCTGGCAGATGTTTTTATAGTTAGTCCTTAAGCCAAGGGGAACCTAGTCACTTGAGTAACCCAGGCAAGTCGTCTGGGATGACTTTTGCTGAAGTGATTGAATGACTGACTGGCCTGGATGCTTGTTGGCTTTCCTGCTAAGATTTTGGTGGAGCAGTAGGTTTCGGGCGTTCTGAGGTTACATTCAGGAATCTGACCTTCGTGATACGGGTCATGAAAATACATGGTGTAATTACCAAGAGAAAATGGCCTGAGACTAACTGCACCTGTTCGGGGAGGTAATGA